TAACTTACCCTATGCAAACGGGATAAACCTTAATATTTTATTTTTTATTTTTACTGGTCTTTATTTATTTATTTTTATCACTGAAAAGTATATTTCAGCAATCAAAATAAATACATTAAAAAAAAAAAAATTATAAATATAATATATATGATTTATTTTAAAAAATATTTTATTTTCTACAATTATTAAATAAGTAAGGATGACAGGGTAACTTAGGACAATTGTAATACCTACACAATCATTACAGAATGTTTTAAATCAAATTGTTCTACTGCACGATAGTAAATATCCTCTTATAGATGGTCCCATACGTTTATACCATATCAAGTGCGCATGACATTTTTATTGATACCCGTATTGTAAGTTTACCCAAAGGGTTTGGTTATTTCAGATTTTTAATTATTATAAATATATTATAATATATAAAGGAAAAGTTATTCAGTTTAAGTACCTAGTTTTTATTTCAAGTAACTACGTACTTTACTTAATAATAGTTTTCTTTAAATTAGATTTTTTTTAATATTGAATAGTGTTGTCTTATTATATGGACAAATGTCTTAATTTTATTTTAGATTCTGAGCGGAAGCTAGTGGTTTTACAATGGTGTTTATTTTTTTTTTTATCCTGTATACAAAATTTCTAACAGAAGGAGATCTTTGATAGTACCTTATCTTATCTTATAGGTATCTTATCCTTTGGACACTTTGACCAAGATGGTACTTTATAGGGGTCATTTTTCGATTTTCTCAATAATTATTTAATGTCATGGGAAAAACCACTGACGAATTACAAAAAACCTCTAAAAATGGTTTTAATTTGAAAAACAAAAGACAAATTAAGGAAACATAGAAATTTTTACGCAAAATTGATTTTTAACTAAATTGGTTTTGGTTTTTAGTGTAATTCTAAAACAAATGACCGTAGATACATGAAATTTTGACTCAATGTTTATATTACCATTTTCTACACACCATTCAATTTTCAAAATATTTTGACTTATTTTGAGCTGTTTATGGAAATTTTCAGTTTCCTACTTTTTTTAAGCTTGTAATTCTATAAATATCAATACAATTTTATTTGTTCGGTAATAAAGATTGAAAATTTAATAGAAGGTTCCTAATATATTTTATTTCAAAGACAGATGAAAAATATTTAAAATCCAGTCATAGTTCTTTTTTATAAGCATTTAAAGTTCAAATATTGACAAAATACTTAAAATTCACGAAAATTAACAAATTATTTTGAGTTGAGAATTTATAAAAATTTTTCTTTTTAAATCTAAGATTTGAAAATGTAATATAAATATTGATGAGCTTTTGAAGTTCATATTTTTACAAGATTGTACTTCACTCGATTTCTCATGTAGTGATTTTGTTATTTTGTTGTAATTTAAAAACTGTAGATATAAGACAATTTCACTGAATGTTCATTTAATCAATTCCATTAGTTCATACAATTTTCAATTAACAAACATGTAAAATCTATTAAGCGTGGCACACAGGTATCTAGGATTTTCGCGCTTTCGTACTATACGATTTTGGAGCTTTCGTTTTGTCCTCCACCGGTACAAACAGTACGTTATCTGCGATCTACATATGTACAAGAACAAAATAAACTAAATAATAATATATTTTGAATAAATCGGTTGATTTATTTATTTATCTAGCTGATTCCGTCACTTCGTTGCCCGGCATTCGGCAACCAATAATGATCTCGTGAACTTAATTTTTATTAAATTGTACACACAAAATTACATTTTCAAATGCAATTTTTTGGTATAATATATTAATTCTGCCTACTCACTACCAGATATCCATCTGTTTGGATTTTCTCCAATTTAAATAGTTTAGATACAAAAGAAATACAAGACTATTGAAAAACATTTTCGGAATTTTAGAATGTATACATTTAAAAGCATATCTATCGGAACTTGATATTTCTGAATTTAGTATTTCTAGTAAGTAGGTATATCCATTTTTTTTTTAAATCAGATGGATTATAAGAAACATTTCCTAACATAATATCTTTTAGAATTTTTTTGTGAATGATGATTATTGATTACCAACTGTAGTGTGAAACATCAATTTTCAAGTCAAATTTAATTAAAGGAGAGCGCATGTGCACCGTCTCTGCCAGGATTTTTCTACTTGTTGTCGTACTTTACCACTTTTGTGGCCGTCTACTACTTTCGCTCGTGTCTCCGTAATTTTACTTGCCCTTCCGGTACTGGGTGGTTACTTCCCTCGCTCCATGACTTGAATCGGGTTCCCTGTGTAGTGATCCCTCACTAACGTTTATATTTTTGAGTTCGTTGACATTGATGGTTGAATAGGAAGAGGTTGCAGAGTGATAAGTTATGAAAAGTAATATTTTAAGTGTTATTTAAGTACAAAAGTATTATGTTTTACATTTAAATATATAAATTTAAGGACAGAGCGAAAAGGCGTCTGCCCGAGAAGTTAGTTATTACACTAGTACCTACAGTATGTGCGTTGTACTAATTCTAAATATGCTATAGATCAAACAATATATTTATATTAAATCTATATGGTTAAAAACATACACGGTAGAGTCTAGGAGGTGGATATCAAGTTTGAAAGGAGCCGATCTAGATATTGCTATTGCTAAAAAACGAGTATGCGAATTATTGGCAATTATCATTTAAGATTTATAGGTTTGTTTTCGCACTATTTTCGATTTTTATCGAAAACAGATATTAATCTGTCAAACTCATGGTTCGTACATTGTACGTAATTCTAAGAAATAGCCCACAAGATTTATAGTCTTGTTGTTGTTATATCGTAAGTATATACTTATGATATTTAAAATATAGAAAAGTGACTCCGTCGATTTACTACACCTACCACGACTGGGTCAGTGGGCGGTGTGACTTCGATCATCATTTTTTATATCCACATGACTCCAGTATGGATAACTTTATTGTGTCCTCAATTTTGTCCGTAATTGTCAAGTTTACCGTTTCAAAGACTCGAACGATGGTAACACTTAGTGTTTGTCTACTCCCCTATTTACCCTATTTGAGTGACAGTGACACCTGTTGGGATACCCTTTTTTTAACCTACGTTCACTTGCTTGGGGAGGTCACCTCTAGATTTTTGTGGGCGTAGTGTTTGGGACGCGTCTTGTTGCCGTTGGCTTGGTGGCAAATCCATTTTGTATTGACTGTGAGTTGTAGTTTTTGGTGCTGTCTGTTTGGCAGCATTTGCGATTGTCGTTTGTTCATGGAATTTACCCGCATTGCTTCGGCGTTGATTTCTGTCATCCACTATTCATCAGGGGTATGTACGTGGTATGCCGATCGTTATTGGTCTTGTTCCTCGGTGTGTGGATTTTGCCCGTGTGTTTCGTCGTCTGTGTTTTCCCGACATCGTTATTTGCGATGCGAAACCTGTTTGTCGGGATGAATTACATGGGTGTTCTCAGCGTTCATTGAAAGTGCCCAGCGTGTTTCCCAAACAGCCGATGGGTGTCTCCCAGTGCCATTTCTCAGGTGGTTTTGGGGCTTCCCGAGATTAAAGAAATTCGTTGTACCTTGTTTTTTCAGGGTTAACCGTTGATGGTTGTTGCCCCTTAGTGCTCTTGTGTTTTTGGTCTGCCCAACTATCCTGCCCAAACCCTACGTGGTCCATTGACAAATGCTTTCTACTATAATCGTAGCCGAAATACCGACCGCTACAAGCTTAGACGTAGGTACAATTAATTATAAATGGATAAACAACCTATCCTTAATGAGTATCGATCATGAACTATCAAGTTTAGACAGTGCTCGACTTGTCAAAATTAAATTAGAGGAACTCTGTTTACTTTTAAAATAGAGCATCCCCATCGCTTTTTAAACGTTATTGATCAGCGGGGGTTAACCCCCACGCCCCATAATATCCATCTTTAAATCATATAAAAAATATTGATAAATAGTAAAAAAAATACAAGTTGATATAAGGCATAGGTAATTAATGTACCTATTATATATAAATATATTTATATAACATAGTTATAAGCAATAACTAACTAAAAAGGAAAATAAAAGCTAATTAATTAATAGTTTGGTAATAATTAGTTAAGATTATATATTAATAAATTAATACTAACTAATTTATAAATTTGTGGTTAAGAAATAATCGGGAGGCTTTCAAAATCTTGAACTTTAAGACATTGAACGTCGATATCTTGACAACAATATTTGCAAGAATGGCGAAATCTTGAATAAATAATTCAAAACAAACATTGAATATTAAAACTGTTCAATGACAAAATCAGAAAAGTCTATATCTTGAATTAATAATTCCAATAAAATCTGGAAAAGCAATATCTTGAATGGAAAGGGCTAAATGTTTGGAAACTAATTGATTAGAACTCTAAACATATGGAAAATAAAATTAGAGAATGCTAATGTTTAGGAAAATAAAAAAAAATTATGTGGACAACAGATTTGTTAGAAAATAATTGAAGGGCTCAGTGCAATAACCAGACAAGTCCACTTTTTTTGGAAATTGAGTTATTAACTATTTCAAATAAAGCGAAAAATTCCACTCATTTAGCTTCAAGAACCAGGTAAGTCCGTTCAATATAATCGGAAATAACATTGATTTGGACTTGTCTTGTTTCTTAATTTCTGTGCAAAACCCAGGCAAGTCCGGACTTACCTCTTTGTTGCACTGAACATTTGGTAACACTGTAAATAATAAATATATGATAACCTTATATATTATGATATTCAATTGGTACGTCATACCTATTGAATATTTTTCATTTTATTTAATTTTTATCTTTTATCTGTGGTAACTAACCAATAACCATGCACACTATAAGTGATATGAATAATAACATAGACATGTCTCATGACAATATTAGTATATTATGCATGCTCTCTCGCTTGTTGAGTTACTACTTACTGTTAAATTTTAATATTTCATTTTATTTGCAATTTTTTTGATGTATTTCGATGTATATTGTTATTCTATAAATTGATTGTTCTAACTATGGATGAAGAAAATATATGTAAAGCGTTAGAATACAATGATTCCGATTTGTCATCAGATATTGATGATGACATTTTGGATCCAGATTTCACTTTACCGAGCCATGAAGAAGATGATTTAGATGGTATACTTGTTTTTAACTCAGATAATGATGAAGGTAGTGAAGTTGAACAATGTCAAACTGGATTAGGACCTGAAGTAATTATTGAAGAAACTAGTGAAGTTGAAGAACGTGAAACTGTATTGGGACCTGTAGTTATTGAAGAAACTAGTGAAGAAGAAACGCCTTCTACTTCTACATGTAAGAAACGAAAACGTGATCCAAAAAATTGGAAAAGAAATGTTTTAAAAACTAAAAAAGCAACGGGTGAACAGTTTATTAATATTCAAAATAAATTAATCCCTCCTAGAGTTATTGGTCTTGATTGTAAATGCACAAAACAATGTTTTATTAATATATCTGATGCCGATAAAAATGAGTTGATATCATATTTTAATTCTATTGGGGATAAATGCAAGCAAGATACACTATTAGGTGGACTTATGGCTGCAACTTGTTAGCGCACATTTTATAATTTTTTCCTGAAAAATCGGAACTCATTTGCGCACACGGTTATCCTAAATGTACAACTGGTTTGCGCACACGAAAATAAGGCTATATGACATAAGCGCCAAAGGTGCAAAAATGCAATGATGGGAATTAACGAGTTAAAAAGTTAAAGTTAAGTTAATAAGTTAATTTTATATTAACTTTTTAACTTAACTAGTTACTTTTGGCTTTTCATTAACTTAACTGTTAACTGTTAAAAATGACATATCATTTGCGCCAAAATAAATATTTTATATAAGTAGTTTTTCTAAATTGATATAATTCTTAAAATAATTTAATTCTATTTAATTTAATTCTAAAAATACAAACGGAATAAGATTTAAAAATAACATCAATCAACAAAAATATAAATAATTATCACCGTAAGGAGTCAATAGAATCAGTCGAACATCGCATAAGATTATGGACAAAATATAGATCTGGCGAAATAGACCGAATGAAAACTTACAAATAATGGGAAACTGTTATTACGGAAAATAATAGACACGTTTCCCAATCATATCGACTATAGGTCTATATCACTATATTAAAATTAAAATTAACACATTTTACACAAACATTATATTATATGCATTTTTAACATAATTTATTAACAATTATTATTAATAATATGCAAGTATTAACATGCATTTTTAACCACACCTATGAATATATTCATAGACAGTCCTAAGTCTGTTAAGTGAGAAGGAAAATGTATGTAGGTACTTTAATAATTTACTTATTAAGAGGGTATTAAAAGGTCTGGCCAAAAGGTAACTGTGCGCAAACCATGTGCATGTTTACGGCTCAACTGTTCCCAAACGAGTGGTAGTTTTGTGCCCAAAAAAGTTGTCTTTTTGGTATTTGTGCGCAAACCAGTACCGCCCGGACTTATTCGTGTAAGTGAAGTCATGCGACACAGAAGTAGGGATGGTAGTTGACCTAAAAAAAATTGCTCAGTAAAATATTCAATAAGAGTTGGAATAAATGATTTTGAAGTATGTAAGAAGGCATTTTGTTCACTCCACGGTATTGGTAAATCTAGAGTAGAGAGGATTGTGCAGAAAATTAAAAATAAAGTTCCTAGTCCGATTGATAATCGTGGAAAACACTCAAATAAGCCTAACAAGTTACCTGCTTCAATTTGTTTTCAAATTAATACACATATCAACAATATTCCAAAAAGACATTCACACTATAGCAGATCAGATAATAACAACACTAGATATATGTCACCAGACCTGTCTATTGCAAAATTGTATAGGTTATATTTGCAAAAGTATGAACCATGCTTCTGGGATGAATAAAACAAAGAAAATAGTAGTCAGATACAACCTATTTTAAAATATGATTACTTTCACAATTATTTTATCACAAACTTCAACATTTCTTTTACTCATCCTAGGACTGACACTTGCCAAACATGTGATAGATTAAAAAATATATTTAACAATGAAACAAATAATGAAGAAATAGCATCACTTAATCTTGAAAAAGAGATCCATCTCAGAAAAGCTGAGATTTTTTACAAAAACCTAAGAGAATTATCTCTCAAAGCTAAAGAAAATAATGATATAGATGTACCTATTAAGTTTTGACTATCAACAAAACATGCCTTTACCGCATATCACATCAGGTGATGTGTTTTACAAAAGACAGTTATGGTGCTATAACTTTTGTATTCATTCTGCTAAAAGTGGAAAATCTCATTTTTTTATGTATAATGAAACCTAACCTAGCTTGGTGCGTACGTAAGTAAGTCTATAGTTTAAATCTTAAGTATCAAAAAATGCAAAAAAATTAACCTAACAGTGGTTCAAACTCGATAGGTACATTCTGTACTTTAGTACATGCTTATCACATTATGAATAATAAAAACTATTATTAAAACAAATAGCAACCATATATTATAAACAAAAATAATAATAATATTTTCAAAATCCCTGTATGAGATCACCCCTGGGTTGGACTACTTATTTACCTTTTTTCGAGACAAAATCTTCTTTCCCGAGATCTAATATTTCTCTATTATCTGTACCAAATTTAATCGCAATCGGATGAACGGTTGAGGAATGCATAAATTACATAGTCAGACGCAAACATTTTTTCTATTTTATATACAATGTATATTATATATAGATAAATGTTCATACTGCATGGTGATTCTTTTAGTTTGTTAATTTCTAGTTCTTATGTAGTTTAGACTTAAGAACGAACTGTGATGTAAGTTAAATCGAAATTAAATGAATTTGCACGTGTATAAAAGGGGGCTGAATATACATGGCTCATCTTTCAATAATTGTAAGTATAATATTTGCCATTAGCCCCCACAAACATTTCAGTCAATTTCCGCCTAATGCTTATGTATATGTACTAGGTAAATCGTACATAATTTACATGCATATAAAGGTTGGGTTAGTTTAGGTATGTTGATTTATATATTATATATAATTATATTAATCAATCAATCATCAGATTCCTTAAAAGTTGTTATTCAGGAATAAACATAGCTCCGCTCAGAATCTAAAAACAGTTTTATTGTAAATACACCATGTGATTAATAAATAATCGAAAAATTTGAGAACTGATAACAAAAAAAAAAGTGGGATAACGGGTGTAGTATGAAATGGCCGGTTCTGGCTCCCCCCCGCTTTACCTACCTCCAGCCATAGGCACCATGCGAGCTTAACGCCTCCCCCACTCCCCCAGCACATATGTGTCTCAAACCACACTCCTCCCGCCTACACTGCGACTCCCTCCCCTCACTCCCCCCACCTGTACTACATCATCCCGTGAATCTCTCCCCCCTCCCACACCGGAACTACGTTATCCCACTCCTTTTTTTTTATAGACAGTAGGCGGCCTTATTGGCTGGGAAATTATTAGCAGCCTCTATCTCAATACGTAAATCGATACTTGAAGTCTTGGCATCATCGTTTTGACGAGAACAATCTATGCAGATAAATGGGTCTAACTCTTTATACTGTTCCCTCGTAAGACACACGGTTGGGCGGTAAATCGCTCATAATAATGTTTCTGAAAATCGACGTAATTTTAGTAGAACATGGTTAACAGATTTTTATCGACATTTTCGTTGAAATCTTCATACGGGTATTCGACTGAGTTATGCTTTAACGTTTTTCAGCGAGCACGCATCGTAATCAACGTTATAACCGTCTACCACTGTACCAGGTGCATTCGTGAGAAAAGCTATTATTAAACACCTAGGTTTCTCTACCTGTGAGCATTTTTTCAACATCCAAGAGGGTTTTGCTCGTCTGCGGTAAATTAGGGTACTCACAAAGCTCACAGTTCCGGTATTTTTGTGCTAATATATTTAAAGAGAATATACAGTTTTAACCCGTGTTCTTGAGACTTGCATCATACAATCATTATAACACGGACATAAAAATATAGTATCTATTATAGCCGTGGTCCGTGAATGAAATCGTGCTATCTACTTAAAAAAATAATATAATATCAATTATCGATAATTAATATATTACCAAATCTAGCGTTTTCAAGTTAAATTTTATATTTATTATGAGTATGAATACAATTATTAACAATAATAAAATTATGTTACTTCTTCTCGAGGAAGAGGAAGAGGACGATGATTTATTAATCACAACACAATGCTGATGAATTTTCCTATAAGTGGAACTTTCCTAATTGCATACTTGCCATTGATGGTAAACACGTACGTATTCGAAGTCCACACAATTCGGGGTCTCTATACTTTAATTATAAAGATTTTTTTTCAATCGTTCTCTTGGCAATGGTTGATGCAAATTATAAATTCGTCATTGTTGATATTGGCTCTTATGGAAAAGAAGGCGATAGTAGCATTTTTTTAAAATCTCTTATTGGTCAACAAATTTTAAACGGGTCATTTAGATTCCCTGAAGAAAGTTCACTTCCAGGTTCTAACATTGTTGTGCCTCATGTTATTGTTGGAGATAAAGCATTTCGCTTGCACCCAAATATAATGAAGCCATATTCTAGAAAATCTAGTATGGGAGATGCCTCTAAAAAAATATTTAATTATGGATTAAGTAGAGCAAGGCGTGTCACTGAAAACGAATTTGGTTTATTGAGCCAAGTATTCCGTGTTTTTTACCAACCAATTAATATTGAAAGTACAACATGTGACAACTTAATATGGGTAGCTTGTTGTTTACACGACATGTTAAGGGATGGATATTTAGAAGACACCAGACTGCCGCATTACGAATATGACTGTGAACAAACTTCGCCAACAATAAGGATAACATGCTGGAATTAAATCGAGTAGGAGGATTTTTTAATATGCAAGGATTTGAAGTGGGGGATCGAATTTAAACATTTTTTCAACGATGAAGGAGCATTAAATTGGCAGAACAACACAATATTTTAAATTTATTATTTACTAATACTATTATTTGATTATGATTTCAATGAACTTGTATATTATTTTATTAACAATTTATTAATTTTACAAAGATGTGTTTTTTTCTAATTATTAAATTATTATTATTACATCATTACTTTAATATTACATTATTAATTATTTATTATCATTTAAATTAATTATTTGTTATGTTACTCGTTGTGAAGTTGTACGTCATTTTGTATTCCTAAGTCACTTGACATGAAAAAAGAAAAGGAAGCTGTTGCTTGTAGTTGAAATAAATCTTGTAAGGTCATACTTTAATTATCTGGCATACTGTATGGAATTGATGATAGTGAACTAGTACTAGAATATTCATAGTTATTGTAAGTTTGAATTGGCAAAAAAGTACTTGAAGGTGTTGCTGAAATTGCACTATATTTGTTCTCAAGTTCGTTAACCATAATTAATGCCTTTAGTTTGGCTTCTTTTATGGCTGAATGTGGCCGTTTTCTAACACTTAATGCCAAACATTTAAAAAATAAGTTGATATCATCATCTTTGTATTTTTCTGCATTTAAAATTAGTTAATTTTGTTCTTCA